GACTTTTGCTGATGTTGTTTGAGACACACGGCTGTTGCAAATGAAACGCATTGAGCGTAATTTGACTACCTACTCGTAATCTTCTTTGCACTGGATGGAAATCGCACCTTAACTTCGAATTCCTCTAATGCTCTTCTGATTAATTACGTTGGGGGTCCAATGACAGTTTTACTTTCCCCGGGACAAACTTGACCTTCACTGGTTGGGTTTTTATTGTCGATCAAGCTGTAGATTCAGGCTACATAGGAGTTGCAGCGGTGGGAAAGAGAGGTAGGAATAGTTCTTTCAGGGAATAGTTAGTTGTGACCTGAGCATTTTTGGCCTGTGACTTGACTAGACCAGATCTTTTTCATATATTTTCAGTAGAAAATAGTTTGTTCGCTTCATTAAAAAGTATCCACTGTGGGAAAGACGCCTGTCTCAAGGATTTCCATAACGACAGCTTCTAAAACGATAGTAGTTTTAAAAATAATCTTCGTTCGTTACAGCCGAAAGACGTCCACTGCTGGACAAAGGCCTCCCCCAAGGATTTCCACGAAGACCGGTCCTGCGCCGCTCGCATCCAGGCACCTCCCGCGACCTTCACCAGATCGTCGGTCCACCTAGCGAAGAAAATCCTCACTTATTAGGAATAGTCGCTTGCTGAACGTTACATTTGTATATCCAGACGTATGAGACAGCGATAGATCATGCGCTAATAACGCCTTTGACGCGTGAAGCGAGACGGACAATGCGTCGCTCTGAAAGGGTTCAAGCCTCTAGGGGACAGAGGGCTGTATTCATGTTTGCAATAAAGAATCCAAGATCTGCTTTGTCCAAGAACACAGTATTGAAAGTCTGTTGATGATTATTTGCATATTAAAGAACCAAGTCAAAACCATTAGAAGCCATTAAAATCATCGCAGGACAGGCGACAGCAAATCATGTGGGTTACTTTAGATCTAGAGGACAACTTTGGCTCACAATAAATATTATTGTTTCTCACCTCGTCATAACAACGCCCGTAAAATGTTAGATAATCACTACTGAGTGCCCTATTTTTGGTTGGTTGCAAGATGGTTTGCGAATTTCATTGCATTTGTTTTTAGCCAGAGTTACTCATAGAACTAAAGTTGGAATAAGTAAATATTTCAAAATGTTCACGTACTCGTTTGCCTAATGTACGAGTGCATTACCGCAGCAAAATTTTTATAAATGTTGTGCTTTAGAGAGTCGAGAGTATAGCAGATAATTAGTCCATCGTGAGCAGAAATTTGTCCACTAATAGCAAAATTCGTTCAAATTATAGTTTTAAAGTAATTAGGAAAAAACAGATTTTGCTGGGGTAATGTTTGAAACATTACCCTGGCAATTTTTTTTTTTTAAAGTCGTTCTATCCCGGAACCAAATACATGGATAGATAGCTTTTGTTGCGTAGTAATTTGTCCACGAATAGCAAAATTTGTTCGTGTTCCGGTTCTCAAGTTATTCAGAATTTTGCTGGGGTAATGTTTTGTGATGTCCCAGATCTCGTAAATGGCTCAACGCAGAAGTTTGAAAAAAATACCAATGATAGACCTTGATATGTCCAAATTAGTTCAAGCATTAGTCATTGATTTGAATAATAAATACCCGTGTAATTAAATGATTTCGAAAATCAGATAAAACGGATTTGTGAGTAAACCAGTACTCTTACAATCAAATAAAAAGGTGTAGCATGTACCCTTGGTACACTTTTATAACCACAGTAAATATAAATGATGTGGCTTTGCGCAAAAGAGAGATTTCAAGAAATTTAATTTATTTTAACAGTCTTACTTTCGTGGCTGAATACGCTATTCCCTTATAACAAGGGAACATGGCATACAATGGACAAATTAAAATGTTCCTTGAATAAGCTATCCTGTTAATTTCAGCTTTAAATTACGACTTATAAGAAAGTTATCGGACTGCAAAAAAATATCAGGAATTCTTCTATAAGCCGGCCAAATTATAAAGGTCACAAAAAAGCGATCACTCCATACATACAGGTATACTTTGCAAATTAGTAGCTTAGCTGTCAATGTTTTGTACAGTTATGTGGAATATTGTAATTCGTGCAAACGATTTTTAAATATTAAATTTCTAATCAGTGTCCATCGTCCTTCCACCATGCGTTTTTTTTTTTCAAAAATAATGTCTAAAGTCTGTAGCTAAAGGTCTACGCTGCAAGATGGAAGCATCTTCTAACCAAAAAGATGGCAGCTGCAGCAGATGTCAACGGATTTAAAACTGGAGTTTATGTGACTCCTTGTAGACTTGAGTGTCTAGAGCGTCCCTTCCTTCACCATGCGTAAGAATTTTCACAAAAATACTGTCTAAGGTCTGTAGCTAAAGGTCTACGCTGCAAGATGGAAGATCTAGCCAAAAAGATGGCAGATGCAGCAGATGTCAACGGATTTAAAACTGGAGTTCATGTGACTCCTTGTAGATTTGAGTGTCTAGAGCGTCCCTTCCTCCACCATGCGTAAGAATTTTCACAAAAATACTGTCTAAGGTCTGTAGGTAAAGGTCTACACTGCAAGATGGAAGAATCTTCTAGCCAAAAAGATGGCAGATGCAGTAGATGTCAACGGATTTAAAAGTGGAGTTCATGTGACTCCTTGTAGATTTGAGTGTCTAGAGCGTGCCTTCCTCCACCATGCGTAAGAATTTTCACAAAAATACTGTCTAAAGTCTGTAGCTAAAGGTCTACGCTGCAAGATGGAAGAATCTTCTAACCAAAAAGATGGCAGATGCAGTAGATGTCAACGGATTTAAAACTGGAGTTCATGTGACTCCTTGCAGAATTGAGTGTCTAGAGCGTCCCTTCCTCCACCATGCGTAAGAATTTTCACAAAAATACTGTCTAAGGTCTGTAGCTAAAGGTCTAAGCTGCAAGATAGAAGAATCTTCTAGCCAAAAATATGGCAGATGCAGCAGATGTCAACGGATTTAAAACTGGAGTTCATGTGACTCCTTGTAGACATGAGTCTCTAGAGCGTCCCTTACTCCGCCATGCGTAAGAATTTTTCAAAAATCTGTCTAAGTCTGTAGTAAAAGTCTAAGCTGCGAGATAGAAGAATCTTTTAGTCAAAAAGATGGCAGATGAAGCATAATATCAACGGATTTAAGTCTGGACTGGCACCACCTTGCAATGTCATCTTCTCATTGTTATCTGTAATGTAAATTATTTTTAAAATGTATTATTTCAATAATCTGACCTCTCAACTCAACACAACACCTTTGTTCGCAACTGTACTGACGAAAGCTCGATAACATACCGTTGATTTAAGATGGCAAGCCTTATGTATGGAACGGTCGCTTTTTTGTGACCTTTATAATTTGGTCCGCTTATAGAAGAATTCCTGATATTTTTTTGCAGTCCCATAACTTTCTTATAAGTCGTAATATAAAGCTGAAATTAGCAGGATAGCTTATTCAAGGAACATTTTAATTTGTCCATTGTATGCTATGTTCCCTTGTTATAAGGGAATTGCGTATTCGGCCACGAAAGTAAGACTGTTAAAATAAATTAAATTTCTTGAAATCTCTCTTTTGGGCAAAGCCACATCATTTATATTTACTGTGGTTATAAAAGTGTACCAAGGGTACATGCTACACCTTTTTATTCGATTGTAAGAGTACTGGTTTACTCACAAATCCGTTTTATCTGATTTTCGAAATCATTTAATTACACTGGTGTTTATCATTCAAATCAATGACTAATGCTTGAACTAATTTGGACATATCAAGGTCTATCATTGGTATTTTTTTCAAACTTCTACGTTGAGCCATTTACGAGATCTGGGACTTCACAAAACATTACCCCAGCAAAATTCTGAATAACTTGAGAACCGGAACACGAACAAATTTTGCTATTCGTGGACAAATTACTACGCAACAAAAGCTATCTATCCATGTATTTGGTTCCAGGATAGAACGACTTTCAAAAAAAAATTTTGCTGGGGTAACGTTTCAAACATTACCCCAGCAAAATCTGTTTTTTCTTAATAACTTTAAAACTATAATTTGAACGAATTTTGCTATTAGTGGACAAATTTCTGCTCACGATGGACTAATAATTATCTGCTATACTCTCGACTCTCTGAAGCACAACATTTATAAAAATTTTGCTGCAGTAATGCACTCCTAATGTACACTCACATTGATATTGTTTTCTGCAATGCTGTATTTTTAACAAGAAAGCTGAACACCCCAATGCCAAATTGACTATTTCTGACTAGCAGACACAGATTTTTTGGATTTAGTAGAATGAAACATGCCTTTTTTAATTAATAGTAATTCAAGATCTCTTAACTGCCAATTATAAAGTTATTCCCATCCACATAGTTGCATACCCAAGCATATCCTCTGGTCTAATTAAACTAACACAAAAGCACTGACAGTGTACGTCTAATTAAGCCGCAACAATAGTTCTCTAACGAACTTGGTCAACTAATTATAATGGGAATGACACACTGATTTATAGTTAGTATATTTATTAACTAAACATTATAATAACAAACATGATGAAAACTTAGTGAGACACCAATAAAATGTCCAGTAGAATGCAAAAGATACGCTAAAGCGACAAAGAAGAAAACTTTGAAGGAAGATTTGAGCTTTACTTGTAAACACTCAAAATTAAGCTGTATCCTAGAGACATCCTCTAGAAGAATTTATTACACAGCTTCAATGTTATGCCATAGGGTAAACTTTCCACTCATTGGACGCTACCAGTCTTTATCAGGGGACAAAACACCCCTGAAAGTCCTCAAAATTAATATTACTTGAAATGCAAATTGCAACTTGACGCCCTTTTATCTCCATCTGTCTGAAATTCTTAGTTATTGAATTTGAAATACTATTTTTAATTAAAAAAATAACTATCCAATAACTCGTGTCCAAATGATTGGTAGTTTACCCTATTTTCATCCAGAAAAGATAAAGCTAATGCGAAATTACCTACAATAAAAAAATCGAGAAGTCTCAGCCCTTAATTACTTCCTAATTACTGGTTTCCAGTTAATATCATTGAGTCCATGGAACTGCCTCTTCATGTTCTGCCCATCAGCCCACTTGGAGTTGAGGTAGCTGTCATCATCGTCTTGCTCCAGCTTCTTCCACTCCTCCTGCTTTCTGTAAGCGTGGAGCATCAGCTGCTTTCGTTCGTCTTCTGTCATGACAGGCTCCCTGCCTGGGGCACCTTCGGTGGAGGAGCAAAGCTTGACTGTCACTTTGGTTTTGTTGTTCTTTCCTGGAAAGATGGAATATGAGAGTTGATTATATTATGATTAGTTATTGATCCTGAGAAGTAGTTTTTACCTCTTTCCTAGACTCACCATCAATGCCTAATTTTTAAATGATCCCTCATTATCTTCTTCATTTCAGCCATGGGACTTTCACTGCTGAACACAGGCCTCCCCCAATGATTTCCACAATGGCCGGTTGGTGACCCTTATGGAAACACCATAGGGGTCACTTAAAAATTAGGGATTGATAGTGAACACGGGCATTAGTCTTATATTGATACAAGGTCTTGGCTAATTGGATGTTTGACATGTTTCATAAGCGTACATAGTTCATTTATTAAAGCTTAGCGTTTGAGCGAAATGACGTCCACGACTTAACAAAGGCATCCCCAAGGATTTCCTTGCTGTTTCGTTAATATTATCTTCTTAATATAAAGGGACAACTCAAAGGTGACTGTCTGACATTCTGACATAGTGATCTATTAACTCACAGCCCAAACTACTGGACGGATCGGGCTGAGATTTGGCATGCAGGTAGATGTTATGACGTAGGCATCCGATAAGAAAGGATTTTACGAAACTACCCCTAAGGAAAACGGGATCCACGCGTACGAAGTCGCGGGCGGCCGCTAGATATTTAATAATTTACCAGTTTAGTAATATACTCACAATCACTAAAAGTACTCCTCAACTCAAGAGATGAACAACACATTTTCTTTATTTCCTGCCTTACACATTATTTTCTAAGGCATAACTTTTACGCAATTCTCACCCCAAAAGGCATTATTCAGAGAGCAAACAAAACGTCTTTTCCTTATTCCAAAGCCGGCCAATCCACTTTCAATACAGGTGGCAACAAAGAAACGCTTTCCGTTAAAACTCGCTTCGAATCAGAAGAGACGAACTTCAATCTTCGTACAGACGAGAGCACGTTAAGGTAACAACATCTTAAAATCGTTGCAATAAGTGCTACTTTGCAGCAGAGATTTATAGTCTGATGGCCGGTCGACTGTACCTCAGAACTGTTTACTTTTGGATGTTCAGAGTTGGAGTGTTCGCAGTCAAAAATGGACACAAACAAATCTCGGATGACACTTCAAAGTAATGAATTCGCTAAGTGGTCCGGACTTCGGAAACTTTTTGAGAGTCGATTGATTTTTGGAGTAGTTAAAAACTGGAGGCTTTTAATTTAATGGCTCTGGTCTTTTCTCTGGAGATGAGAGGCTTATAATATTGATGATTGGGCTGTGCCTGGTAAATGAAGTTTTACTAATGAAAATACCTTGAAGTAGATTAATTTTATCTAGAGACTAGAAGGATTGCTATGTAACCTTTCTGTTTATAGTTACCCCTTTTTTGACAAATTATTTAAAATGAAGTAATAAACAAAAGTTTTTATCGCAATAGGTATCGGTTTTAAATGTTGATAAATCTATACTAATATTATAAATGCGAAAGTAACTCTGTCTGTCTGTCTCTCTTTTACGCCTAAACCGCTGAACCGATTTTGATGAAATTTGGCATAGAGATAGTTTGAGTCCCGGGAAAGGACATAAGATAGTTTTTATCCCGGTTTTTAAAACAGGGACGCGTGCGATAAAGTTTTTCTGTGACAGACAAAATTCCACGCGGGCGAAGCCGCGGGCGGAAAGCTAGTTATGTATAAATCAACACTTTAGTAAAATCATGAATTTCTGAAAAACTAGTATTGAAAGGAAACAAACAAGTTACGAGTGTTTGAACTTTGTATGGAAATAGCTTATTGTGACGTCAAAATGCCACCCGCCGACCGCCGCCGACCACAGTATGGCAAATAAGGTGTGTCGTGACGTTTTTAAATAGTCCAGTAACACATTAGTACACTGTACATCCACCTAAATGGTCGCTCAGTTTATTCCCACTCAGCAGTTTCTTCCCACAGGCCCAAAGGCAGGCCCTGTTCGGATCTATGACCTCCAAAGCAGCCTGGGTTCCGCTAAGATCTTCGACGTTGTCTAGCTCCATCCTCACAGGGTCGTGGGGAGGTAGACCAGCAGGGAAGACTATCTTGGTAGCGCCACGGAGCTCGTCTAGGGCTTTGGACACGTCCTTCTGGGTGAGACATTTTCGGAGATCCACCTGAAAAGAGTTGAAGGAAACATGGTGGTTATCTTCTGTACCACACAGAGGCTGTAGGGTTCTATAAAGAAAAGATATAGGATGAAATTCCCTGCCGTATTCCCTAAATCATACGGCAAAGGTCTTCAAGACAGTCGTAAATAATATGCTTCTTCTAGGTAATCGTTCAACCGTAGATCATATCTGCAGGACTCGTGTAACATTGTCATGAACTAATAAGAAAACTAACAGAGAGGGAGAGGGAGAAATTAAAAGAAACCTTCTCTGCAACTGAGCATATTTTTGGTCATGACGTCATAGCTAGATTCACGATCCAATTATTCTTCTTCAAACTATCTTTGTCCTAGCAATTTCCCATTATTTGGGGTCGGCTCTTCTCGTTCTACGACGCCAAGACAGATTGTCCTGAGTTGTCGAAACCTTTGTTTGGGCAAGCTCTAAGTCCTTGGCATCGTGAACCACCAGGTTCATTGGGCGTCTACCTTTCCTATTATTTCCTATCTTATATTCTTCAAACGATCATTTTCACTAAATAAATATGTAATTTATATAATTCCAACTCACATGCTTCTTGCTGATATACTCTTTAGCAGTCTCGACAGCTTTTTTCATCACTTCTTGCATATTGGGCGGTGGGGCGAGTCCGCAGCGTCTGCCCATGTCATCCTTCTCAAACACAGCCCCTGGCGGTGCACAGCGCTCGGCCCAAGGGTCTTCCAGCTTTAGCTCTTTAATCTGGAAGATTAAGGAATCATTTGTTGAAAATAACAAAATTCAAGCAGGAAGGCGCTGGACGCAGGCTGCTGCCAACCGGGCAACATGGAAAGCATTAGGGGAGACCTATGTTCAGCAGTGGACGACCTATGGCTGAGATGATGATGATGACGAGGAACAAAATCCAAAAGTACAGACATGAGTAAGATTCATAGAGCTGGTTCAGGAACTTTTCTTTATCGAAGGTATTTTGAAGAGGTTGAGATTAATGTACAAATACAACAACTTTTTGTATTGGTGTTGATACACCGAAAACTTAAAAACTCAATTCATAGAAAAGTTCAAATTGTAAAGTGAATTATTTTAAGCATCATATCAAATCCCTTGGCTAATTATCAGACAGGGACTGTAGGAAAAAAATAATAACAATGGTTTTTTATTCGTATAAGACTAAAATAATTATTTTCATGAGTGGGAACCAAGATTCAAGAAAATGAGCATAATTATTATCTTTACCACCCAATGTTATTCTCAATTAGGTCCCTTAAAAATAGAATACAGAAAAAAACGCTTTATCAGCTTCAAAATAATATTCCGACAGAAATATCAGAAATATTCTACCTATTGCTTGTCATAATAATTGTGCGTAGGTGTACTTATTATTAATTGTTACTACTTCATATCTTAAAATAGCACTTATTATTCCAAATAGAATGTTGGTGATGAAGTGTAGCCAGGTACCATTCGGTGGACCCATGATTTGGTGAAGATCGTAGGATCTGGATACGGGCAGCGCAGGACCGGTGGAAATCCTTGGAACTTTTGTCAAGGAGTAAACGTCTTGCGGTAGAAAGAAAGCAAGGCTGCAATGTTCAAATCTGTTCATAACAACAGTTGTCCAGCAATAAACCGTCCCAGCATCTTGTCAGGAGGGCGGCTGCTAAGTGCTATCTATGCTGGATTAGTAGTCCCGATTTTTGCCACACTGGACAATTAATGACATTTACAGGAGGACGCTCTATTAAAAACAAATACTGGTTAGTTCCGATTTTTACCACTTGATGTATTAGAATACTACATGTACAATAAGACATCTTATCTCGTAGTAATAGATGCTATTTTTTAAACAGACGTACCTGATCCTCGTTCAGACCCTGCATTTCAGGCGGCAGAAAAGTCCCATGTTTCTGCAGCTCTTCCATCTCATATCCCAACCTGGTCACTTTGAGTCTCCCATTGAAAATCGCCGTTATATCCTTCACTACATCGTCCACTTCGTAATTCACGTCTGTTTCGTATAGAAACTGATTCTCATCGCCCCTTTTGACTAGCAGAATGACCATTTTTGCAAGGAAATGCAATTTTCGCGTCCGATGCTAAAGCGATTATTGAACAAGCGTTGCTATGGAGACGGCGAGTGACGGTTGACGTGACAACGATGAAAAACGTTTATGAGAGCGTCTGACATTTTATGTGTTGCAGGTTGAGTTTGGATTACCGATTAGGTACCTTTGTGAAATAGAAAACGCTTGTGTTTTGGAAAATACGACACAAAAATGTTAAGATAGGTACCTAGATAGATAAAAAGTTACTTAGAGATTATACCACACAACAGACGAATTACCTATCGCAATAACAGAATTTAGGCTGTCTTAATGCTAGGAAGCGATATCTATCAAACAACTCAGGGAAAGGGCACTTGAACCATGGTCATGAACAATACAAAATCAGAAAAGTAAAATATTCTTTTGCATTCATTTACTTATTATTTACTGGTGGAAATGGAAAAGTTACTGAAAACCATATCAAAACCTATCTATGATTATATCAGAGTCACAAATTGGTATAAAATTACTTTAAAACGATTTATTATAAATCCACGCAGGCGAAGCCGTGGGAAAAAGCTAGTCATTAATAAGTATTCTTTGAAATATTGTTAGCCACATAAAAACTGAAGTAACCTTTAAGCATAGAGGTGAATTTGTACATTGTTTGAGAAGGGCCAAACATAAATCACATGACGTGGACCAGGGCCGGATTTAGAGGTCTGGGGGCCTCGGGGCAATAAAGGAATGGAGGTAAAACGAGAAAAAAACTTATAAAACTCATTTTATTTATGCAGGTACACTTCTTTTAAAAATCATTTTTACAAGTGTCAGTATTAACCCTACCACTGCTTCGGGACAATAAATGCGCCAGTGCTGAGAAGAAGCAGCGCTAGAAACTCAGTCACTATTTAAATAAAGAAAAGGTTGTCCACTAGTGTTTTCTAGTATGTATTTGAATTTCTTATGTGAATTCTATTTTGTAAGTGAATGAAAATTACCAATATACAGTTATGTTGCATACCATAAGGTGGAAGATGGAGATACCTACTTGAAAAATTTTAACATCTACTGATGTAAATACCCATTTTCTCAAATTAAATGATTTAATTAGATTCTTATTTCGAAGTCTCTACTGTGGGGGCCCCTATATGAAGGCCCCGGGACTGTAGCCCCTTGCCCTGCCCTAAATCCGGCCCCAACGTGGACCTTACAAAACTGCGTTATCTCGTAACATGCTTACAATTCAATCTTTTTGACAGTGCTATATCCTTGCTTATCTCAGGACGAGTGGGTCAAATCGGTCGTCGGCTATCGCTTAAATCGAAGAACGGGGTTTCCATCAATTTGTAAAGTCACGGATAAACTTTTAGAAGTGAGTGACTGTTGTGGGATTGTAATCACCCCAGTTACTCCACTCGATATTAGAGGCCTGCCTTTTGAATTGAATTTGAACTCTCTTGCCAATATTACATCCTTTTACACTATGAATATTACTATACTTATCGTAATATGGAGAATTATTTATTACTAACCTTGTGTATTACACTGATGTCAATATTATGTAAAAATAACTTTAGAAGACCTTCAAACAAATTAGAATACGATCAAACAAGAACATTGTGAGTAACTCGTACCACTTAATAATGCCTAAGGTTACTTTTTTATCATGTGATTCTTGCTGCTACTACTGTGTAGCCAGGATCTACCGCAAATAAAAACCCAACCAAGTTTGTCGCGAGGGAAAGTAAAACTGTTATTGGACCCGCAACGAAATCAATCAGAAGAACAAATGAGGAGTTCGAAGTTAAGGTGGTTAAGGTTCGACTTCCCTCCAGTGCAGGCCCAACCAACTAGTAGTGCACTTTTGAGTAAATTATATTATTATATGAAATTATCATAAAAGTGGGCGCCATTAACTATTCTGTATAGAATTTAACAGGTGAAGCCGATTACAGTCGTATATTTTAACATTCACATTCCGTAACCTTCCACGTCACAGCGACAAGTCAAACGGCCTAAAACCTTTTTATTCCTTAAAATGGNAGAAAAAAAAAAAAAAAACAGACGGGTCGAATTGAGAACCTCCTCCTTTTTTGAAGTCGGTTGAAAATGTTAAGATAGGTACCTAGATAGATAAAAAGTTACTTAGAGATTACACCACACAACAGACGAATCAAAAATTACCTATCGAAATAACAGAATTTAGGCTGTCTTAATGCTAGGAAGCGATCTCTATCAAACAACTCAGGGATCAGGGAGAGGGCACTTGAACCATGTCATGAACAATACAAAATCAGAAAAGTAAAATATTCTTTTGCATTCATTTACTTATTATTTTCTGGTGGAAATGGAAAAGTTACTGAAAACCATATCAAAACCTATCTATGATTATCAGAGTCACAAATTGGTATAAAATTACTTTAAAACGATTTATTATAAATCCACGCAGGCGAAGCCGTGGGAAAAAGCTAGTCATTAATAAGTAATTCTTTGAAATATTGTTAGCCACATAAACACTGAAGTAACCTTTAAGCATAGAGGTGAATTTGTACATTGTTTGAGAAGGGCCAAACATAAATCACATGACGTGGACCAGGGCCGGATTTAGAGGTCTGGGGGCCTCGGGGCAATAAAGGAATGGAGGTAAAACGAGAAAAAAACTTATAAGACTCATTATTTTTGTATGTACACTTTTAAAAATCACTTTTACACGTCCCAGTATTAACCCTACCACTGCTTCGGGACAGTAAATGGGCCAGTGCTGAGAAGAAGCAAGAAACTCAGTCACTATTCAAATCAAAGGAAAAGTTGTCTACTAGTTTGAGCAGTCAAGTATATTTTGTTAGTGAATGAAAATGACCAATATACAGTTATTTTGCATACCATAAGGTGGAAGATGGAGATACCTACTTGAAAAATTGTAACAACTACTTTGTAAAAACCCATTTTCGCAAATTAAATGATTTGATTTGATTCTTTTTTCGAAGTTTCTATTGTGGGGGCCCCTCTTTTGTTAAAGCTCCGGGGCTGTAGCCCCTTGCCCTCCTCTAAATCCGGCCCTAACGTGAACCTTACAAAACTGTGTTATCTCGTAACATGCTTACAATTCAATCTTTTTGACAGTGCTATATCCTTGCTTATCTCAGGACGAGTGGGTCAAATCGGTCGTCGGCTATCGCATAAATCTAAGAACGGGGTTCCCATCAATTTTTAAATTGTTGGATAAAGTTTTTAGAAGTGAGACTATTTTGACTCGTCTTTCTTTTCCTATGTAACTACTACTTAACAGTATCAGACTTCGTCGGCAGTTTGGTGTAGTGGTTCTGAAACGGACTACTATGCCGAGAGGTCCCGGGTTCGATTCTCAGCCGGGCAAAAATGTAAATGATGAATTTTAATTTCTGTGACGGGTCTGGGTGTTACTTTGTGTAATATGTATGTATTTAAAAAGTATTATAATGTAGTAGGTATATCCGTTAAGCTAGCACCCATAACACAAGCATACTAATTGCTTACTTTGGGGCTAGATAGATAGCGCTGTGTGAAATTGTCCAAAGATATTTTTTTTATTTATTTTCAAATTGTCTTTAAGCTTTAATAGTAGCGAGCCCTAATTGTATGTAGTGTGTCAATATTATAAAATAAAACATAACAATTGCAATGAAAACCGTTAGCCAACAAAGAAATTAATAAATGGGGTTTATAATTCGATCGTAGGAGCAAACATTGATGCCTAAACTTACTTCCGTATCAAGTAACCTTCTAAGTTCTTTGAAGAATAAAGATAAAATCAAAAACGGCACATTACAACAATATAACAAATTAACTGGTTAATTGTTTATGAAAATATTTTGAAAATGGCCCTGTAGTGACTATCCATTTAATATAAATAGCAGACTCCGATCGATTCATTCACTCTCATATTTAACATTCACATTCCGTAACCTTCCACGTCACAGCGACAAGTCAAACGGCCTAAAACCTTTTTATTCCTNTCTAGGGAATAAACAAACTCCACGAACGGTACCCTTTCATAAGTTTACGGGAACAAACTTTGACCATTCGTCAAAGTTGTCCCGGCTATCCCATTTTGTTTACAAAACTTGGTTACCCTATTTGGGTCATGCACATTTCACGGTTGGATGGGTCTCCCGGCACATTAGACAGTGTCCAGTGTAGGGTGGCTCCGATAAAGTATATAAATACAGATTGACGGATGGGGGAGATATTTTTGATGGTCACTGACGTGGATAATGTGCGGGAAGTCGATAACCTCTTTCGTAAACAACGTTTTAATTACGTGTGTAGATATAATAGTTACTGGTAGCGCAACTGTAGGTAGGTACTATAGGTGCATGAATTTAGTTAATATATACAATAACTCAAAGGTGACTGACTGACTGACTGACTGACTGACTGACTGACTGACTGACTGACTGACATGGTGATCTATCAACGCACAGCCCAAACCAATGGACGGATCGGGCTGAAAGGCATGAAGGTAGATGTTATGACGTAGGCATCCGCTAAGAAAGGATTTTACTAAAATCCACCCCTAAGGGGGTAAAACGGGATTCACGCGTACGGAGTCGCGGGCGGCCGCTAGTAGTTTATAAAGACGTTTTAATATCTTTGAAATGCTAAGTAAGTATAACTATCCAATATTTTAAACTCTGTGTATTACAGTTAAGAAAGCTTAACCTCCATTCACAGTTTTGAACTATCATCTCAAGATTTTAGGTTCTAATTATGATTATTAACTTCTGGAATAATTATGCATTAAAAGGTTAATACCGGATGCATTCTTAAATATTTATATTGAGGCTATCCATTATTTGGATTTCAATCTTTGGTTTCAATAGACCAATCAAAGTGAAAAAGAACAATGGGACATTTTGTATGAGCTTCGTCCCCAGAACTGTAGCACTTTAATATCTACCTTACTATGTACATGCTAATACTATAATTTTGGCTGAGTTTTGAATGGTTTCAGTTTCATAAAATATTAGATCAATGCAATACCAGAAGAAAACAATGTCAAAAACACCCAGCATATTGCATGAAACCA